CCTCTAGTAATATATTTACTGAGAAAATGTTGACGTGTTCAATACTTATTTTACCCGCTGTATATAGCTGTTATACATGATTGTTGGATGAAATGAACATAATTAACAATAATAGTAATTTATTGTAAAAAATACAAACAAATTGTGTCAGATTCAGTTGGGCTCGCTGTGAAACAAATTGTTTTTTAATGGCTGTGAGGCATCGCCCTATATGGTCACCATGTTTACATGCTYTCACAGATGCTAACAGTGGATGGGATAGGCAGGACTTACTCTAGTGGTATTGTATAAAACTTTTGACTGGAACATATAAAAAAAAAACTGACCTGAGCCAGGAAAAGATTTAACACAAARAGGTGAGGAAGTCGGTTGAATTTTTTGCTGAGCAGCATCACACCTATGGTCCACACCTGACAGGCACACAACCAAAAATCATTTCAGCCATTTCCTGTTCTAACAGCCACTTTCATACCACCAAAAATACTTCTCAGCCTTTTCTTTTCTTCTAACTTACATATTTGTTTCCTTTTTTTTTCTCCTAACGAGTGCTTTTAAAAATCATCACTGTGGGAATTTAAAAGCATTAGGATGAATCTATACCAGGCAACAAAAGCACTCACCAGTCCTATGAGGCTGATAATGCTGATGTTAAAGCTAACGTTTTCCAGCTCCGTCACCAGGGGGGTTGGGTCCATTAAAGGGATTGTCAACAACCAAGCCGATACGTACACGATTGGTGCAGACAGGAAGGTGCTGATTACCATCCCTGAAGTCAACTGATATAAAAAAAATAAAATAAAATGAGCATTTTCCATCACTTTGACAGTGTCTGAATTCAAAATTGTGAGATATTATGTCTGTTAGCAAAATATCTCATCTKRCACTAGACAAATTTGACACGCTTCCAGGAAGTAATTATTGGTTGGACATCTACAACTGATTAACTTTTGAATTCAATCAAGTTTTCAACATGGCCACCACAGCTAATCGACAAAAAATAAATAAATAAATAAAAATGTTTACAACTCATTTCATTTCACAGCTGTTTAGCTAAAATTTGGTATGGTTGTAGCTGAGACTGATACACATCTCGTACTCTGAGTTGCATGAGATCACACAGCTGTTTTTGAGGTTTGATCAAAACAGAAATATTTCTGTTTTTGTTCTACAGAAGATGATGCGGTGGGCAATACGCATTTAAATTTTGACAATTCCTTCATTGAATAGATATTCAGGTTCGATATTAGGAAAACTTTAAATAAGATTGAAAATGTAGGAGGATGCATCCTTAAAGTTAATATAAATAATGAAATAGATGTTAATTCACTGCAACTGCTTTAAGTAGAAAAATGTGACTGAGTAGTGTTGAAACATGTAGGGGGAGGCAGTGAATGGAGTTTTGTAAATGCYGCTAAAGCAGAAAACTTTAATCTTTGTTCTGCATTTGTGTGCGTGTCATGTAAGCAGGTCAATAGAAGAGCATGGTTTTMGTTTAAAAGATGAAAGCTTCAAACAAAGAAGACAGAAGGGGAGTCCTTTTTTAGTATTTGATGCAAGTTTTTTTCATTTTCAGTGTTTCCGTAATAATGGTGTTCATAAATAATAGATAGGAACTTACCACCTCTAACTCCATGTTATAGTGCGCAGCATAAATGGCCACACTAGGCGCAGTTGGGAAGACTCCATAGAGAAAAGCAAAGTTGGACAAACTCGTGTGGTTGGAGCTCGTGCTGTTTACTCCAATATCCAGAATATCCACCATGTCTTTGCAGACCAATGGCATAACCAGGCTGAAAAAAAAACAGGATCAATAAAATAGGAACACATAAAGTAGTAGTTACATAAAGAAATTAGTTATATTAGATCCAGTCTAAGATCTAAAATGCCAAATATGTCAAATTGTGTGGCCTGGTTTTGGATGTCTATGAATAAATCAAAGTAAATGAATAAGTTGTAAAAGGTAATTTATTTTCAAACATTATAAGACTTGATATAGAATAGAATAGAATAGAATAGAATAGAATAGAATAGAATAGAATAGAATAGAATAGACTTGTGGTTCCTCGAGTTTCTAAAAGTAGAATAGGAGGCAGAGCTTTCAGTTATCAAGCTCCTCTCTTGTGGAATCAACTTCCAGTTTCTGTCCATGAAACTGACACTCTCTACTTTTAAGATTAGACTGAAGGTTTTCCTTTTTCATAAATCATATAGTTAGACTTGGGTTTCCAGAGTTGTTCTTCATTTCTGCTGCTATAGACTTAGACTGCTGGAGCACAAACTGAGCACATTTCCTCACTCTGCTGTTGTCTTTAGTCTCTATTCTCTACATGTTTATTGTTAATATTTTTATCATGTTTTTTATGTCTTCCAGAAGAAGGTGCACCTGGACCAGTCCCGGACCAGTTCTTCTGCATTTGTCTGTGTCTCTTTCCTGTCCCTCAACCAGCCGGTCGAGGCAGATGGCCGCCTGTCCTGAGCCTGATTCTGCTGGAGGTTTCTTCCTGATTAGCAGGGAGTTTTTCCTCTCCACCGTTTGCTCAGGATGGGAGACTGTGATGAAGTGATTCACCGCAGCCTGCTGGTTTCTTCTTTAGATTATTCTTTTTATGTACAGTGTCCTGAGACAAAGTATGTTGTGACCTGGCGCTATATAAATAAACTTGAACTTGAATAGAATAGACTTTATTGTCCCCTATGGGAAATTTGRTTTGGGCAAGTGTTAATTGTAAATAAAAAATGTAAAAAAAACACACAATGAGAAAAAACTCTAGCTCAAAAACAACATCAATCAACAACACAACAAGGGGACAATTTAAGGTATTAGCTGCAAAARGCAACCTGGAAAGTGCTAATGTGTCTGCTCAACAGCCTGGTTGAAACTGGAACAAGACAGTTTCAGTCTGTTGGTCTCACACCTGTGTCTCCTCCCTGATGGCAACATTTCATATTCAGAGAATAGTGGGTGTTTACGTCACAGCTTGTTCATATATGATCTGTAAGGTTGGCTGTATGAGTTGAAATGATAAGACCTGACTGACTATAATTTTTATCCTCTATCCATCACGGATTGCTCCATTCGAGTTGTACTTACAGTTTGGCTGTGATGAGGAGTATCAAAGCAACTCCAGTGTCTCTGGTTAGCTTTCTAAGCTGACCCACCTGAAACATCAGACAGCTAACTTCACAAACGTGTAWTTCTTTTTGTGCTATGGGCATGTAGTAAAAACAAACTCCCCACAACTCACCATAGTGAGGCCCAGGTAAAACAATGCAGCCCCTCCGAACGAGTTGGCTAAACCATCTATAAACTCTGACAGGATGGCAGGAATCTGCTGGCTCAGGGCAAAGTGGGAGATGATGCCCACTATCACCATGAAGACTATTGGATTTTTCAACACCTTGAGAGGTGAGTTCGAGGGTTAGGAGCAAAACAAAAACTGTAGTTGCCGAAAGCAGCAGGAAGAGCCGCGTTGATGAGAAATACCTGTAGGACTACAACTCCCAGGATGCAAAGACTGCTGCGCTGTGGGTGGCTGGCCTGCCTCCACCTTTGCACCTCACAAAGAGCAAAGCCGATGGGATTGAGAAGCATGAGGGAAACGGGGGCCACTAGGTAAACATACTGGAGGTATTCCGGATACGTGCTTCGATACAAAGCATCGACTGGAAGAACCAGAAACAAAACTTAATAAACTCCCCTCTTTTGAAATTCAAGGTTGTGTTTGTCTTACCTATCGGGTATCCTAAGGCAAAGTCGTTACTCTGAGTAGCAAAAATGGCATACAGACCAGCCTTGCTGTATCTGCAGTCTGGACTGGCCACCATCAGCGTCAGCACACATACCAGCACAAACACTGTAACCTGCACACAACATCAGATCATAGCGGTCAGGTTGGGTTTATTTGCTTTAACCTGAGTTAGACGGGGGTTTTTTCTCAAACCTTTGCCACCAGTACGCTCCAGAGGAACGCCCATATGACGTCCCCGAAGTCCAACAGCACCATGTTTTTAAAGAGCAGAGCTGGAAGAGCAAACTTTGAGACAAAGTTCCCCAAACCCTTAGCCTGGTTCTCTGTGATGATGTCAGCCCTACGAATGCAAAAAAGGAAGACACGAGGTTAGCGCTCAAAGTGGAATCACGCACACGTATGCTGTTCTCTCTCACACACACCTACCTGCCAGCTATATAACCACAGAGGATGATGCCAAAGCATTTGAGAAGAGCTGGGAACAGCTTGTCTATGGACATGTGGGGCACCACAGCAGAGCCAGCCGGGGTGTTGTGGGAGATGTTCTTCCCATGGATCAAAACATAGTTGTTAGTGGTCTCCATGTCGGCTGAAGGATCAGATTTAAAGTGGTCAGGTGATGACTGYGAAATTAATCACAATAAATATGATGAATACATATGCAAAATAAAATAAAATGAGAAGTACAGAAGACTCAAAGCAWCATGCAGTGAATAATGTTTATGCTTTGATTGACAGAATATTTTAACATGTATGAAAGAGATGGCGAGGTCATGATGAGTACCCAAAATGTCTAACTACGCCCCTGTTAAAGGAAGCTAGCTTGGTGCTTTATCCAAAAACAGYTTATTTCGACCATATAGTGACACTYTACAAAACTACAACTGCTAAGTCACTTCCATAACAAAGCAAACCTCTTCTAGCTACGCTCTCCATCACCAGCAGGTACCGTTAGCGGTAATACCTCCTACATGCTAAAAACAATGGGGCGCCGTAAGGCCTCCAAACCTCGCACAGTTGTACTTTTGAATGGTTATTTAACAGTTGAATCCATTACCTTTATCTTAGACGAGAAATTATAACAAGAAATTCATAATTCGTCCGATTTGCGTGGTTTCTAAGCCCTTGTTTTTTCTTCCTTTTTTTTTTTTCTTTTGGCCGAGCTGACAGCTGCAGAGAAAGGACACGCCCCCGAGCATTGACTGGCAGGCATGTCAGCCAATCAGCGCTGAGAAAAGACCCGCTGGCTTCTGTGATTGGATCAACAGAGTGRAGCATAAATGTGGAGGAACAATTAAATGAAAAAAGCCACAAAGCATATCCAAGAGCTCGAATTTCGATAAACTTGTAAGGAAAGATGAGGAAATTTAACGTTAATGTTAGGGGTTTGAACCTGCGCATAGAAATTCTAGATTTCACTACATTGTTTTACCTAAATTCACTATTTTTTACATGGTTCAAAGTCCATACAAAACCCCATTAGCTCAGCAAAAGTATACCTTCTATATTTTTAAAACAAAAAAAACTCACAGAGGACCACAACACAACTGCAATATTACTAATAGAACAATTAAATATTTTTGTCTTAATGCTTAATTAAAAATACAATTAAAAAAGCATTAGCTGATCAAAAAATAAAATAAATCAAAAATGATCATGTATTGAACATAACACGTTTTATTTTTATTCATTGTTTTTATTGCACAAATATGTAAATGATTCATATGGTTTGTGATAATACAAAAACAAGTTACTCCATTTATTTCACGACACTACAATTTCGTATCACAAGTCCATTGTTCAGGAAGATGTATGTTATGTCCAATAAAAGCACTTCATTTCCACCCTTTTATCTCCAATAAAACATCTTAAATCATGCAAATAACTTTAAGTATGCATGATTTGTCTTAACATAAAGTTTTTACATTTGCAAATGACAAAAATGCTAAATAAAAATAAAAAACATACAAAGCTGAAATTAATAGCACACATAATACTGCAAAGATAACTTATCCTTCCGTATCCTTTGATTAGATCATACAAATACGCAAACAGGTCTTTTTATTGCAAGTCGAGCGCTTTAAAAACAACAGCAACACAAGAATCAACTTGATTGCACACTCCTGTGGCTACAACCCTCAATGATGACCTTAAAAACATCTGAAATCATATATTAAACACTTCCTCACAAAACCTGTATCTACCAACTAAAAACGTACCGTTCAGTGGTTCCAGCAGACAAAAATAATAAATGTTAAGAAAATTGACATTCACACTGTGAAGGCACATGAGGCAAACACCACCGTTTCCCTGATGTTTTATGCTGAGGAGTCTGGACGTTGGGCTCATTTAAAGTTTGGTTCAAAACTGTCTTTGTACTGTTGCTATACTGTATTATTACCCTTAAGGTTCAGGAGATAAGTGCTTTCCATCTTACATTTTCAATAAAATTGTTCAACAAAAAATAAAAAAATAAAAGGCAGAAGCTCAAAAGTCTAACAAAAAATAATCCCCCTAACTCTTAATCAACTCAAGATAGAATCAGAACGGAAAAGGCAAAGTATTGTAAAAATATCAGAAAAGGCACTTTGCAACTTCTGAATGAAGAAGTTGCATGAAAAGCCCTGTGATGTTGCTTCACTAAGTGTCTAATAAATTTATTGCCATAAGATGATTTAGTTTTTTCCCCTTAAAGGACTTAGCTGGTGGAGTAATGAGATATTTAACCTTTTGATGTGTAGAGAATAAAGTAAAATCCATGTGCATTACTAATTGGAGCAACAAAGTCCATCCCAATACATCCACTAGAAACAAAATGGTTGTAAACTTTTTTTTTTTACTTGTTCACTCCAGAACACAGTGTACTAGAGTGTAAACAATTTTTGGTCATTTTCACATCAGTTTTCTGCTGCTACAAAAGGCACAAGACATGAACTCTACATTGAGTTGGTGATTTTATTTGGTCGACTGCACATCAGTTCCATTTTCACGCTGCAGTCCTTACACGATCGCCGGGTCAAAAGCATAATGAGCGTAAGAGGAAAAGAAATAAAACAAAGGAGGGTGGTAGGTCCAAGTGTTAAAATGGCTGCTATTTTCCTTCACCTGGGTATAGGAGGAAGAGGAGGAGCACCTCTCTCCTTTTTACCTGGACCTGAAAAAAACAGAGACAATTTAGTTTTTGTAAAAAAAAAAAAAAAAAAAAAAAAAAAAAAAAAAACATTCCCCCACCAGGTGGCGCTATGTCATGACTTATTTCTCTTCTGGTGATAGTCAACTAAAATTTGACTTTGGTGACTCAACAGTTTATTGAAAAAGAAGATGATTTAGATGAGAACTGAAAGCTTCTCTCCATTTTTATAGTTCCTGAAAAACAATTTTGGAGTTATGACATATATGTTTTGTACAGAACTTGATTCTCACCTTTGCCTTCCGATTTGGTGATCTTGCTGGGGTAGGTCTTTGTGAAAGGCACGTAGGGCTCAGGTGGTGGAAGGTCTGACACAGGGTGAAAAGTGAACCGATACTCCCACTCATCTGTCCAAAGAAACAAATCAATCTTTGAGTGGTTTTGTCCTTGTCGAGCTGACTAATAAAACTGTATATGATAAAAATATAGGCGTTGAGGAAATGTGATTAAAAATTGTTTTTATTTAAAGCAGCGCTTGCAGGGCCTCTCTGTAACTTCCTGTTCCTGCTGCCTTCTAAATAAAACTTACCTCCTTGGGTTAGAGAATAAAAAAAATAACAGGTCGCTGGGTTTCTCGGATTTGGCTGAAGCATGTGGTAAAAGCAACACTGAAAGGCGATGGGAATCTCCAGCAAAGAATATCAGAGTGCAGCAGTAAAAACACAGCCTGAGCTGACATCATATGTCTGTGTTGGTCACTATGAATGGGAAAATTATGCTAATTAGATTAMAAGTATTTCATCATTGGTCAATATATATCTGCAGACAACAGAAGTTGACCTAAAGTTTGGTGTGATAGTAGCTGAGAAAGATTCCTAATACTGAGGGCTAACAGATTATGCAAGAATATGGTTTCAAATTCCTCTAAAACTGTTTGAAAACTTCCAGAAGATGGCTGTCACAGCCAGCTGACCACAAAAAATATACTAATGCAGTCAATTTTACTGACATTAAACTAAAATTGTGTTTATTTACTTCACTTGCTTGTTATTGAGCAAGACTGTAACTTTAGCCTTACTGTTGGATTCAACCCTGTCTGTTAGGAAAATATCCCATGAACCACTGAACACCTTTTAATGAAACACTCAAAGTAATCACTGAATCACCTACTTGGCTCAACTTTTGGAATAAACACAATTCACAAAAATGGCTTCAACTACAACAACTTTACAGATATTGAGCTAAAGTCTGATGTGGTAGTAGCTGAGAATCATTATAACACATTCTGAGGTTGACAATATTGCATTAGATTGCACATAATACTGCATTTTAAAGCTTTAACAACTTTTTCATTTCCTAATAAAAGATGATTATAGTCTAAAATAAAAAGTAAAAATTGATCTGCATTCCTTAAGAGAATGCTACACCCCAAACCCCCACCTTAGAGTAGACTCAGATCATGCTGCTGCACTAAAGGATTTACAAACCTTGTATCTGGTTGTGATGAGAGTTTTGGAAACCGTTCCCCATGGGTGGAGGAGGTGGAGCTCCTCCTGTCGCCGGTCTGTCTGGGGGCAGGGGAGGTCTACCTCCAGGCCCGCCACGAGGTGGTTCTGGACCCGGCCGACCAACAGGAGAGGACGCTGGCGATGACCTGATGCTGCCGCTCATGCTACGACCTGAAGGTGGCGGTGGAGGAAGAGGGCCTGTGGAAGTACAAGATGATGAGAAACGTGGACGTTATTTCATGAAACTAAACTGTTTCTATTCTTCCCTAAGTGTGTTCTACTCTGACTGCAATTAAGTGCCAAGTACCATTTATCTAATGTTTTTCTAATGTAAAAAAAAAAAATAATAAAGTAAGACCACTTACCCGAGCGCGGTGATGACTGGTTTCTTCCAATTGATGGTGGTCTCTCATTTGGTGGAGGAGGGAGAGGTCCTGACCGAGCAGGTGGGGGTGCTGGAGCAAGGCTGATGAAGATAAACTGAATTTTAATCTCTACTGCAAAAAATGTCCATCTAACAAAGTTTTATTATCTCATATCCAGCCAAGTATTTTTGATCTTGTTTTGAGAACAATATACTGAGAAAGAGCAGAATGTGTTAGATTATTAATCTCGTTAGCCTAGAAATTTTCTTAATTTCAAGAAGTCTTACCAAGTGTAATTGTCTTACCGCAGTGACAGATTATTTCCTTTAATTTAGATTTAGATTATAATTTAGTATTTTTAACTTGTTTCTTGATGGCTAATTTTTGAAGTGCGTTTTTGCATTAAAAAACAGATTCTAAACAAAAACCAAGAAGTTATAATAAACTATAATACAAATCAGCTACAACATAAATGTTAACGTAGACACCGATGTGTTCTTATCAATCTCAAAAAATGCAAAAGAAAAGAAAAGAAAATCTCTCAGTTACTGGAGTCCATATTCAGTGTTGTCAAGTTTGGACTACAGCTAGGTGGTGCATCCAATAAGGCAAATTAGAAAAGATGTTGAAACAGGAAGAAAAAACAATCCATTTTGCATATGGAGTACAAAGTTTACAAAGCTGGGTTGCTCTCTTCTGGAAGCCACATGAAGTTTGCATAATTTTTGTATCGCAGCTGTAAGATTTGAATCGATGCAAACATTGATTCAGGCATGAAAGTAGATTTTTACAATGTTCTCACAATCTGAGTGTTATTAGTTGGGCAAGTTTCAGCTGTACCTGTGGAGGGAGCTGTTCCTTTGGGGTAGACAAGGTGTGCTTTGGTCCTCCCCTCCACCTGGGCTTGGCGGGATGGGAGGTGGGCCTGGTCGTCCAGGAGGGAGAGGAGGCGCACCGCCGCCAGCTGCAGGACGACTGGATGAGGAGGACGAGGGAGGTTTGGAGTTGAAAGARGGAGGAGGCGGGGGCATGTCGCGGGGCATCGACGGCCGATGGCCTCCCGCTGGGGCAGGAGGTGGAGGTGGTCGGTCGTCGGGAAGTGGAGGTCTCCCTCCTGGAGAAGGAGGCAAGGGAGGTCTGCAGCTGTTTGGGGGTGGAGGAGGGGGCGCGGAGAAGCCTGTGCGGGAGCCCGCTGAAGAGCCTCCTGGTGGGGGAGGGAGAGCTCCGTGTCTCCCTGGCGGAACACTAGGTGGTGGAGGCGCACAAGCAGGGCTGGGCCTGGGTCCTGAAGGGAGTGAGGGTGGCGGTGGGCCTGCCCGAGGCTGGAAGTTCTGGGATGGTCTAGGCGTGTTGGGTACAGGAGGAAGGGGTCCTCCTGGAGTGTCCTGCCTGGAGGAGACATTAGGACGACCTTTAGGAAGATCAGGTGCTCCGCCACGAGAAGCTGCAGGGACACCTGGGAGCCTTGGTGGTCCAGAGGGACCACTACCACCACCAAAAGGGCTGGGTCCACTAGAACGGGGTCCTGGTGGGAGAATAGGTCCACGAGTGGGTCCTGAGTCTGGGAAAGGAAAACAAATTAATTAAAAGGTTTTATTAAATGTCTCTATTATTTTTGTCATTTWTTTTATTTATTTATTTTACCATTCTCTCGGTTTCCTGCGGACCTCAGTTTTGGCATCCCTCCTGCAAATAGACCTCCTAAACCAGCAGGAGCCCCACCACCAAAACCACCACCTCCTCCTCCTCCTCCACCGCCGCCACCACCTCCTCCTCCTCCTTTTGGTTCTGAGGGGAAAGAAAACAAACTATCTTAATCCCTTAAGTCCCATTAGTCCTTTAATAAACTTTCCATTGATAACTCATCACTTAAAAATATATAATCTGATCAATAAAGCAAAGAAAGTCTCTGAGGAATAAAATAAGTGTGTGGGAAAAWTTTWATTCAGTAGTTTAAAAACCAAACGTGGGAATTCACTTTTAAATTAACTTAATTGTACCCAATATTGCTGTGCAGATCATTGAGGTTTTCAGGTGAGTATTTATGCACAGCTTTACAGTATATGGATCCCATTACTGCACATATATCACACTGAAATCTGGATTCTGTCACGGTCATACAACATTGATTCTTTTATTTATTTTTTCAGTTGTCGTATTGTAGACATGTTGCTGTATTCAGTATCAGTGTTTCATTTCATGACCAAGTTCAGGCCAAGCTTTGGTAAACAGAGGCYTTCATAGTTAGCTCAATGACTGCAAAGTTCCCAAATCCTCTGGCTGCAAAACAAGCCCAAATCAGTCTTGGACCTCTATGCTAACCGTTGCCTGTGCTAATATGCTGTTCTGTTTTCTCACAATATGAGAAGCTGTGCATTATAGCCAAACATCTACAAAATAAAAATAAAAATCCTGAACAAGCTTAACGCAATTACAAACTCTTTGACTTTACTGAACATGAGTGTTTCCAATGTTATCTTAGGATTTTAAACCCAGTAGCACAAACATATTATGACCAACTTAAAAAYATTTAGCTTTTTTTAAGAGGAACTTGCTCAGGCACAGACTTACTGTCCAAAGAAGGCCCACTGCGGTCATTTGTAACAGTTTTTTTTAGCCTGGTGCCTTTGCTAATATCTGATAGAAGAGCATTCCTTCCTTGTTGCTCCGAACGGTTCAGATTTGGCTTCTCTGTGTTTGCCTGAAACACAAGCACAAAGCAGCACGTTTGTTTTAATATGCATTAAAAATAAGTTTCAGTATTTAAGTTATTAGAGTGTTGACACTGTGCACACTTTATTTCCATCCAGAAATGCAATTCTCTCTCTTTATATTTTTTCTATTGAATTCAAAA